AAAAGAAATCTGAGAGAATTAATGGAGAAGAAAAAAGGAAGCATGTCATTTTATAATACTCGTATGATAAATAATGCTTATACTTCTAAAGTTAAATGAAATGTGGAGACATGAAGAGCACTAGACCGGTGACCTCTACAAGCACTCTAGGTGACCTATCACACAGGACGCTGATTCAGAGTAAATATGCCAGCTCTATTTGTGCCTCTCGTGTTCATTCATCAACAGTGTATCATGGTACATGCACGGTGAGAAATAAATCTCCTCCACTTGAAATCACTCATCCTAATAGACTGCTTTTCTTTTCTTTTGAGAGATGGATTGTTCGGAAGACTACAGCAGGTTCCATACTGAGTCCAAGCTTTGGCCTTTCGCTTCATTCATCCACACATGTTGTGCTCTTCCACATGAGCAGTGAATTAGAGCTGCACTAATCCTGAAAAAGCTAGTGAATCCTCTCCCCACCCCTCCACCACTGCCACCACCACCACTCAGCAGATAATTTAGACAGTTTCAGAAGCATAGGGGGAACACAGAATAGCAAGCTTGTTTGCACAGCATTAAGTGCAAGTGGAACTTGCATACTTTATAATAATAATTATAATTATAATAATAGGACACTGTTAGGATGTTAGGACGCTTTGTTGTTTCTCCTCTACAAGAGTAGCATTAGGAGAAAAAATGCTACTCTTCTTGCTGGGCACGCTGTACAGAAATTACACTACCTCCATCATTATTGCAATCACTAAAAAACTAGCCTTTCTGGCATGACTAATTTTTTTGTTATTCACACAAGAAACTGAATGAAGCAGTTTTAGGGAGTTTAAGCTTGTAAGCTCAGTCAGGTATTGGACGTTGTGTTTTGCGGCATTTGGATAGGATTGCTGTTGCCAACCAGTTTCTATCTATGTGTTCTTTACAAACGACAATGCAATCAACCTACATGAACCCCTGTTCAGTTCAAAAAACATCTGACAGTCACTCTTTTAAGTCAGTTCATGTTTTAGTATACATGGTTAACTACCTCTGACATATCACCGCCTCATGGTGGTTAGGGGCTTTTTCAGCCATGTTATCCTAGGGGTTAGAATAGTCCATAGTGAATAGTCAGTGGCAGTTTTTGGTATGGGCGACATGGGCTGTTGCCCAGGGTGGCATTGTGGCAGGTCGGCATCATGGCATCAGCAAAAAAAAGGTGCTCGCACCCATGCTGCCCCGACATCATAGCAGTGCATTTTGATTGATTGATAATACTTTATTTCATCCCGAGGGAAATTGGGTTAAGGCTGCCAGCCGTGCCAGCGCCATCTTACCCTTCCGACCATACATGCATTACACAAAACATCACATGGGGAAGACAGGTCAGAGAGGTATAACATTGGAAAATGCACCACATGAGGAAAGATAATGAGAAAAAAATAACTCCCCCCAGACTGAGCTCCAACAGGGAGATCAGTTTGAGAACAGAAAAAAAAAACACCTCTGCACATAACACATGAAAAAACTCTTAATACACCAAAGAAACACATGACAAGCAACAGGGGTGGGTAAAGTACGGAGCCCCGCAGGGGACATGGGAGAAAAAAAAATTAAGACGGACTTTTGCGAGATCTCGCAAAACAAACTCGGGATCTCGCAAAACCTTTGCGCGATCTCGCAAAACCTTTGCGAGATCTCGCAAAACAAACTCGGGATCTCGCAAAACATTTGCGAGATCTCGCAAAACTAACTCGGGATCTTGCAAAACAAACTCAGGATCTCGCAAAAGTTTTGCGAGATCCCGAGTTTTTTTGCAAGATCTCGCAAAACTTTCTTGCGAAAGTTGAATTCCAACAATGGCGGCAGCTACTTAGTTTTAATATTACTCTTTCTGGGTCACAAAATACACCTTTAAGATATTTTGAGGCGTTTATGTAGTTGTGTAAACGTCAGATACCTGCTCGGTTTACAAGACATCACATATTTGCAAAAGTGCTCCGACGTTTTTGGAGATCTGACACCCACTAGCTCGAAGCTAACGGGAGGTCGAGACCTACTACAGCCGGGAGGAACACCGCTTTCCCGGCACATCGTGCCTCGACCTCCCGGTCGGCTTCGAGCTGGCGGCCTCCGAAGAATGCGGCTAAACTTTTGCGAGATCTCGCAATACTTTTGCGAGATCCCGAGTTTGTTTTGCGAGATCTCGCAAAAGTCCGTCTTAATTTTTTTTTTCTCCCATGTCCCCTGCGGGGCTCCGTAGTAAAGGGTGCAGCATCGGAAGGGAATAAGCATCGAAGCCATTTGGAAAGGGAGGGGGGATGAGTGTGTGCATATCAGTGTATACACAGCAAAAACTGGAGTGTTAAAATTTCAGGGTTAAACATGTTAGAGTTGATTTCCACTCTCAAAGTGTCATTTTAACACATTCTGATTCAAATAGTGTTCAGTGTTGGAGTTATTAAACAGTGTTATTCAAGTCCAATTAAATGAGAGTTATTTATCTTGGTAGGCTCCTGGGCTTCTGCCCAGGTAAACCCGTGGATCAATTAATAGTTTGCTCTGCCGGGCCGATTTTCCATGTGCGTCTGCTGGTTACACCGTGGTGGATGCCTGCCGTGTTGCTGCTTGGAGTATTTTACACAAACGGTAAGTAATTCAAACTTATATAAAATTAACGGTATTCTATCGGTGCAGTGAGGTTTTCTTGATGTTTCTTGGTGTTCGGTTGCTGAAAACAAGCTTTAATAGAGGAGGAGATGTGTCGAAAATTCTATTTAGCCTCCAATGCTAATGTTAATGTTGCAGTCTTTTTACTCGTGAGTGACGGTAGACACTGCACGTGGAAGCGCCGCGCCACGTTCAGCTTTTCCCCTGTTCACACAGACACGTCTTTCTCCACGCCAGTTCATGAGCGTTTTTGCTCCTCCGTTTATTCAGAGCATTTTTTTTCACAATTGATAAGTAAATAACATCCCAAAATAATGGAAGAGAGCTTGTTTTAGTCACTCCTGCTTTTACTTTGACATCGTTCATCGTTGACTTGTCTCTAATCTGTCTCTCTCTGTCTCACTCTCTTCTCCCTTTGAGACACCCGCCCCAAACATAGTCAGTTAGGCTGTCCCCTCCTTTGCGATGTGTTTATTTTCATCTCTATTGTCTCTTTTCATACACGAATCTGATCGCATTTGTCAATCGCAGTATTTTATTTTGGAGAATAGCTTTTATCTTCAAAATTGCCTGGATTGTCTCGTGTGTCTTGGTGTAACTTCCTGCGGGATACCGAAACAATCGCTTCGTAGCACTCCGTGTCTGGTGTAAAATACACCATAGATTAACATGTATTTTGTATTGTGTTGCGTATCAATTGGACTCCTGCATGGACAGACACAGGTTTATTTGATAACATTAAATGTTATTGCAGTGAAATTCAAACGCATGGTCAGTATTAATCACCATGTACGGTATATGTCAGTGTTTTAATCATTTTTGCTTGAATTGCTCTAAATGTCAAATACTTACTAGTGTACCATTTTTGTTATTATTTTGTCTCAGTAAAATGCTGGTCCAGGTTCGATACTGCCAACAGCAGAAGTATGTGAAGTTAGAAGAGGTTGATGGGCGGTTTGAGTTTATGCAGTTTCATGAAAAAGGTTTGTTTATATCTTACCTAATTTTAGTTGGGGGGACAGAATTTTTTGTAGGGCGTTTCGCCAAGTCTCTTGAATCATACAGTGGTGTATCACTTTAGTGAATGTGAGGCAAGAACAGTTTACTTAAAAGGTGCACTCAGATATATCTTATCTTTTCCAGTCATCGAGAGATTCTGCCTGCCACCTGATGCAAAAGTAGTGTACAAAGATGCAACAGGGACAGAAGTTGATGAAGTGATTTTCAGTGACCTTATCAGCCAAGGCACTGTGGTCCTAACAGTTTTCTCAAGTGATGGTGAGAAATTTAAAGGGGCAAGCTCAACACCAGACATGGGGAAGGGCTGTGTGGCTGCTGGTTGTTCCAAATAATCAGGAGCACACAATTTGACCAATCAGCTGTTTGAACATTGAGATCAGTTAATTTAAATGAGTCAGGTCTGCAGTGTGATGTTGCCTTGTTAGTTAAAAATCCACAGCCAGATTTTTTTTCTACACCTTACAGAATAATGTTGTTTTTTCCTTTTAGAATTTTCTGATTGCTCCTTGTCTTCTGCATCTGATTGTTCTGATTCAAGCTTCAGCTCAAATGCAAGTACATCAACTATACTTCTAGATGAGGGTCCCAGGAAGAAAACAAGAGTTGAGGGTACTGTTGATGCAGCATCTGCTAAAAAGGTTGTGACTGTCACGGTTTGCGGGGCAAGCCGTGTGGATTTGTAGTAAGGACCCAAAAGGCGGCAGCTCTGGTGCAGGTGAGTGTTTATTTACAGGGGTGTAAGTACAAACAGCGGTGGCGACAAAACATGAAACCGGAAACCTAAACTGGGTAAACTAATAAGACAAACCAGAATGAGGATGCAGGGAGGTCCGGAGAAATACATACAGGGAGACGCAGGGAGACCGAGGGGAAACAACACAGACGAACCAGCCACTACTATGACAGAAGACACAACTAAAATACACTCAGAGAACACAGGGGGATTACATACAGGTGGGAACACAGCTGGGAGTAATTAACATGACGAGACTAGGGAGGCAAACTGAAAACACTCACATAAGACACAGACCTTCACAATAAAACAGGAACTTACACATGAAAGGACACAAACTAAGAAACGCGGACTAGATACAGGAACACACGGGCAGAACAGAGTAAACACTAACCAGAGGAAGAACAGAACCAAAATCGCGAAGAGAAAACACAAAACGCTGGGTCAAAAGGACCCAGGATCATGACAGTGACAAAACTCAGTTCTCATAGTTTTTTTTCTACTTCATTATTCTTAATATGTAGAAAAGCTATTCCTCACCTTTTGCCTCTTTTTTTTCTCAAGTTAATTGAAGGTGTACTTGGAACCAATTCAAGTGGTGAAGAGGTTCTCCAGGAATATCACACAACACAAACTCTAACAGATGCTACCAGAAGAAAAATGGTCAATATAATAGTGGCTCACATGATTGATTGCCATGGGTATGTGTGTTCTATTGGTGCATTTTTTTTTTTTTAAATACAAGTTACTATTTTGCCATTACTTAAGCATGCTAATTTAAAATCGTTTTTCAGGCACCTCCCCACCAAAGCTGTTAGAGAACAGTACGCGCTAGGGGTAGTGACATTGTTCCCATCCCTGAAAGACCCATACTCCAAGAAAGGCTATGTATAGTCACTATTATTGCACTTTGTTTACATAATTTTCATGCTGTGCATCATTGGGATTTGTGTGCGTTGACATTTAAGTTCTGAAAATTTTCAGATTGACAACACATTATTTTTGAATGTATTTACATTTTAGGAACACTTCTATGATGCTGCAAGCAGCACTGGATACATTTCTTGGCGTTTGAAAACGATACAGAGAAAGACTAGAAGAGGATCTGCACCACCAAGTAGCTCCACTGGCTTTGCTCAAGAAGGAGGTAAGAAATTAAGTGTCCACAAACTAGATAATGTTCTCATTTACATTATATACTATTTTGTTTTCATTTACCTATCTGCTCAGCACCTATGCTTTTATGTTTGTATGTTTTTCTTCAGGGGGCCCAAATTACCAAAGGCCCATTAATGTCGACATGCAGCTTGATCGAGATGCTTGCCAGGAGGCCATCTCTTTGCTGAACCATACATCTGACACTTCCTTGATTTTCCAGAAGATGAGAAAGACCTTTCAGCATCGTCAGAAGCTCATCAATGATCCTGACAAAGGTCTTGATATCCTGTCTATCTTTCCAAGATTCTTGGATACAAAAGGATTGGTGAGAATATTCAGTGGAATTTTTAATATCACTTTAAATTTCAAGATGAATGTGGCAGTAGTAGATTTTCTTTCTTAAAGGTGAATCAAGACTTCACTCTCCTGTTTGATGATGAGATATCTACCAGGCTGCTTCAGAAATGGGATCCAATCTTTAGGTATCAAATCATCAAAGAGGCCAAGCAGCTCACCTCAACAGTAGAGTTGCGTCAATTGTGCACCAATTGACGCAACTCTACTGTTGAGGTGAGCTGCTTGGCCTCAGCAGAGAGTCCACCAGGAAGTGATCTTGATGAGGCAGCAAGTGAGTTTGTTAAATATGATTTGCTATAAGCAGTTAAAGTTCAATAGCATCAGGATTCTATTAATAAATACCAATTCATTCACCTGTTAGCTTTGCTTCATCAGTTTTCTTTAGCTGTTAGTTTAATGTTTATGACAGCACATTTCAACTTTCTTAGGAAGTGCTTTTCTAGTTCTCCTTAAAAATTGCATTTGAAAGATTTGCTGTCAATTGATTCTTGTGACTCTTTGGCCGCAGCCTTTGACCAAGACATGGCCTCCCAGTTGTTACTGTTACATTTCCTTCTGCCACCTCCAGGAGGACCAAAGTATCAAAAAATCAGCGCCTCTGATGCTGTTGAGAGACTTGTAGTCTTTCATAAGGTAATTTAATATTTATAGTTTTTATCATAAGTTGTCATGTCACTGGTTAAGAGGTGAATGAAACAAATTACAGTTGAGCTTACAAAGGAGGTTTACATACTCATTTCTGTGATGCTATTATCTCTGACTTGCTCCTGTGTCAAATGCTCAGTATCTTTGTCTCAACTCCAGTCTTGCTGCAGTTTGGAAGAGCATCTCCAGAATCAGCAGAGTCAGCAGCCATACCTCCTGCCTGTTGGGCACCAGAAGAGGAAGGTCGACAGCTTCTACACTCAACAAAAATATAAACGCAACACCTTTGTTACTGCTCCCATTCCCATGGGATGGACGTAGAGACCTAAAATTCATTCCAGATACACAATATAACCATCCCTCCCAAACAGTGGTCACAAATCAGTCCAAATGTGTGGTAGTGGGCACATCTGCTATATTGAGATAATCCATCCCACCTCACAGGTGTGCCACATCAGGATGCTGATCTGACATCATGAGTAGTGCACAGGTGTACCTCAGACTGCCCACAACAAAAGGCCACCCTGGAATGTGCAGTTTTGTCTCACAGCAAAATGCCACAGATGCCACAAGCAATGAGGGAGCGTGCAATTGGCATGCTGACAGCAGGAATGTCAACCAGATCTGTCGCCCGTGCATTGAATGTTCATTTCTCAACCATAAGCCGTCTCCACAGGCATTTCAGAGAATATGGCAGCACATCCAACCGGCCTCACAACCGCAGACCTCGTGTAACCACACCAGCCCAGGACCTCCACATCCAGCAGGTTCACCTCCAAGATCGTCTGAGACCAGCCACCCAGACAGCTGCTGGAACAATTGGTTTGCACAACCAAACAATTTCTGCACAAACTGTCAGAAACCGTCTGAGGGACGCTCAACTGCATGCCCGTCGTCCTCATCGGGGTCTTGACCTGACTCCAGCTCGTCGCCGTAACAGACTTGTGTGGGCAAATGCTCACATTCAATGGCGTCTGGCACGTTGGAGAGGTGTGCGCTTCACGGATGAATCATGGTTCACATTGTTCAGGGCAGATGGCAGCTGAGAATGTCCCAGTTCTTGCATGGCCAGCATACTCACCGGACATGTCACCCATTGAGCATGTTCGGGATGTGCTTGCCCGGCGTATACGACAGCATGTACCAGTTCCCACGAATATCCAACAACCTCGCACAGCCATTGAAGTGGAGTGGACCAACATTCCACAGGCCACAATTGACAATCTGATAGACTCCATGCGACGATGTGTTGCACTGCATGAGGCAAATGGTGGTCACACCAGATACTGACCGGTTCTGGGTCCCCAGACCCCCAATAGCGCAAAAAACTGCACATTCCAGGGTGGCCTTTTGTTGTGGGCAGTCTGAGGTACACCTGTGCACTACTCATGATGTCAGATCAGCATCCTGATGTGGCACACCTGTGAGGTGGGATGGATTATCTCAATATAGCAGATGTGCCCACTACCACACATTTGGACTGATTTGTGACCACTGTTTGGGAGGGATGGTTATATTGTGTATCTGGAATGAATTTTAGGTCTCTACATCCATCCCATGGGGAATGGGAGCAGTAACAAAGGTGTTGCGTTTATATTTTTGTTGAGTGTATGTTGCCATAGACAAGCGTCTCATCCCCTGCCAGGCCAGCCACTCCCTTGGGGCATTTGATGAGCTTTTTAAAGCTCATTTTGTGTTCAATGTGTCTTATGATGCTGCACTTGTGAATTTCTACACATTTCTGCAGACAACAGTATACAATATTGATATGGGGAAAATGAAGGAGTCCCCAAGAGTTCGTGACCTGAGAGCCAAAATCCTTAACCAGGAAATTCTTCTCACAACCTAAGTAAAAATCATTAAAATGCTGACATGTTTTTTGTGTAAGAGAGCTTATCCCATCAGTCAGCAGCTGATTTCACATTTAAGAGGTGAACATGGTTATTATCCTGGACCTAAGTTTAAGTTATTTTGTTGGCAGCCAGGCTGCAGGATTCAGCTCCAAACTTATGCAGGCTTTAGGAAGCACCTCAGTAGTTTTCACAGCAATGTTGACCAAAATGATCGAACTTCAGCCATTGCTTGTTTTTCTAATGACACAGTTTCACCTGCTTTGGAGGACCAGTTTAATTCCTCAAATCTTCCTCACAGTTCTCCCAGTGTTCTTCCAGAGTCTAGTTCTTCCAGTGTTCCAGTGAGCATTGATTCAGTACTTACAAGGGATTCATCCAAAGAAATGTGTGCATCCATTGTGGCCAAACTGCAGGGTAGTGGCCTTTCTAACAGTTTAGTATCCTCACTTGTAGGCGATTTGGAGGAATTAACAAGTGAGCTTCGCTCAGAAGCAAAGCAGGCCATTCTTTCTGCGTTACCCACAAAGGACTCCAGCATATCTTTAACAAATGAATGTTTTGAAAATTTTGAAAACCCTTTCACCAATCTGAACACAGAATGGAAACGAAATAAATACTTCAATCTAAAATGGGGCGTTGTAGAACCTAGAGGAATAACACTTGGAGTGAGGTATGACATCAGGCGAAATCAGAAGTCTGGTACTTATGATCAAGTACCTGTGAAGGATAATTTTATATATGTACCTATTTTGGAGTCTTTGAAGTTCATGTTTAGAAATCCAGAGATCTGTGTTTTCCTGCAGAGAGAGTGTAGCTCAGAGCCTGATGCTTATCATGACTTTTGTGATGGAAGTTACTTTAAAACTCACCTTTTGTTTTCAGCCAAAAGGCATGCATTACAAATTCAGCTATACTATGATGATTTGGAAACAGCCAATCCTCTTGGCTCTAAGCGCGGAATTCACAAAATTGGCTGCATTTATTTTGTTATAAGAAACTTGCCCCCAAAATTTAATTCCATTTTGATGAACATTCATTTAGTGTCACTTATCCACACACCAGATCTGCAAAAGTATGGTTTTGATGTTATACTGGAACCACTGATAAATGATGTCAAAAAACTGGAAAGTGTTGAGAAATCAGTTTTACCCCGGTTCTTTTTATTCCTCGAGCATCCAGAGATGGCACCGGACTCAGTAGTCATTTTCACAAAACTTTTATTCATCTTTATTCATCTTCATTTAAGCATGCACTTCTAGAAGGGAAGACGAGGCCGGTGTCCCTTGTTAGGTTTGTATTGTTGATTGTCATTTATGCTTAGAAATATTTACTTATATATGCTTAGAGTTTTGTAATTAGTTGTAGATTGGTAGAGGTTTTGATCCTTGATAGTCTGCAAACTTTGTGTGTATTAGACAGCACTTTGGGAGCATGAGAGGTCATACCGTGTCTTATTGTTTTATGGTAGGATTAACGTAGTTGCGTCTGTTCTAGTCTAAGTGCTCTTTGTTTAGATGAACTGCAGGACTTCCTCACCGTGTTATCTAGGATGAACCATCTAGGGTGAGGGGGAGGCTACCCTCTTCCTGACCAAGGATGTTTGACCCTTTGATCAGCAGTCCACACACACACACACACACACACAGGCAAGGTACTCTTTGTGTGTATGTAGACGTCATATGTTAATGAACTTATGCATATTCATGTAACCTCAATAAAAGAACAGTGGTACGGGAGAACGGACGAGAGCAACTGGGGTCAAGCGAAGGAACGGCGCCTGTCCGGTTCTCTCCCGTGCACGAGAAACATGAAGAACTTTGCCTATTTGTGTCTTGCTTTGCAGTGTAATTATATTGTCTTCAATGTTCCAGCGGATAGATTCAAGCTACAAACCTATCATCCCTCTCCAAAATCTTCACCCCTTTGTCTGTGAAACACAGTTTTATAGACGGGACCCCATCATAAAACCCCCTACGGTGTGCTGCAAACTCTGTCTGTGTCTATGTGCACGAGCACATGAATGCCTACATGTGCTCGTTCCCACGTGTCTATGTGAGTGCTCGTGTGTGACTGTGTACGCATACCTGTGTGTATGTGTGAGTGCACATGAGTG